CTGGATGACTTCTTTTTGGTTCTGCGAATGATGAGGGACATGAAAGGATAGTTATTTGATGATGTAGAAGAGATGAAGAAAAAACCAGGGAGGTGCTGTCAGCCATCCAAACAGATGAGTTTGAAAAATGTTTCCAAGAATGGAATTGCAGATTTGTCAAATGTATTAAGTGTAAAAGGGAGTACTTTGAAGGTGATAAGGTTGTTTTGTAAAAAAAGTTAAATACATAGCTTTGAAAAGCTTTGTATCACATTTGAAAGTTAGCAAAACGTGATTATTCAGTCCTGGAATACCAGAGGGTAGGGTGCATAGTTGACCAGTAGTATTGTAATCAAAGAAGGAGAGATTTACTTTTCATTTGCATCTTTTCCTCTCTAACTCTCTTCTTCTCTTCTTTATATTTCTTTCCTTCTCCCAAATGCTTGCATAAACTTGTTTTCAAACTTTGGTATATACACACAATGGAATGCTATGTGTCCCTAAAAAATAGTGATAAAAATCATTATCTGGAAACCTTATGCTGAGTGAAGTTGGTCAATCACAAAAGGACAAATACTATATGAGTCCAGTGCTATAGGGATAAATATAAGGAGGGAAGAAGGCTCAAGCTTTCGGGCCCTCCAGTCTGCCAGTCACATTAGCCAGGAAGTTTGGTAGAGAGCTTGATTGGTGTTCACGAACCATGTGCCATCCTCTCTGTGTGTGCATATTGAAGGTACTTTGGCTGTGAGGTCATGTCAGGTGGGAGCAAGTTTTTGAGAGAGGGGTAAGGGTGGATGACCACTTACTGGCTGCCATGCAAAGGTGTGACTCGCAGACCTTCCTACCAGAGTGATGAGAGACACTGGTGGGGAAATCAGTCAGGAGGGGAAAAGGAAGCATACAGGTCTTGGAGAAGACAGGGGTATGTCTGTTGGTAGAAAAGAGGGGAGGAACAACTTCCTAATGGGGGTAAAATGACTCACAATACATTTAAGGACCCTAATGGAGGAATATGCCTGGCACTATGCTCCTATTAAGCCACATCAGTCTGAGTTTCAGTTCACCCCCTGGGGACCCAGGCTATGTCCATAAAATACTGGGACAGTAAAGCTTGGATCTTCAAGATGCACAATACTCGCCAATGGCCATTCCTGAGGAGGCAATATGGAAACCCCAAAGGTGAACTAGGCTGTACCACAAACACACCTGTAACCTGAATACTTAAGACTGAAAGTACATGATGTTTGAAGAAGCAGAAGACAGCTATACTAAGTATATAGAACTATAAGTAAGCGGACTAACATTTGCTGTTTTAAGGTATGTGTTATTTTGGTAGACATGTGCATGACATTGTCAGTGAATAATATTTTAAGTTTTGCCTGACCACCAACTCCCATTGTTTGTGTAAATAGTGTCAGTCATGTAAGGATTTATTCTGTAAAAGTCAATAATCCATGCATTGTGATTTGTAGTTAGCCTGTACTTGTTCGATTTCCCTTTCTCAGTGGTGTTTGAAAATTATTACCATGGACTAAGCAATGACAATACAAACAGAAGATCCTTATGCTCCTGGGAGATGATCAATAAGAGTCTCTACCATAAAATAACAAGGATGTTTCCAAGCCAGGTGAACCAGAGTTAGATAAGAAACAGATTCAGTAATGGATTTTGGACTTCCAAGTAATACTAGCTCCTATCTAAGAACAATTAGCTCTTTTGACATGGCCTTGCTAGCAATACTCGCCCTCATGAAGAAAGATATGGGTGCTATAGCAAAGTGTGGTGAAGAAATTAGTTGGTGTCTAGCTATCAGAAAGAATAGAATCTAGGGTCTTGTTTTCAAACAAGTAGCTATCTAAGTGAGACATCAACTAAACCCACATGGAAGAAGCTCACCAACATCCATGATCCCAAAACTGGAAATTATATAATCCAAAACTGAAGCGGGGAATAGTATCAGAGTTTAAACATAACATTCTACTGTATAGAAGGCTATGGATGACAGTGGAACCCAAAATACATTCACAGGATCTACATGAGGCATAATCCTCTGGTGATTTTCTTCTAACCATAATTGAAGAATAGGAATAACCTGGTTATTAGACAGAGAGTATTGGAGAGATGACTATTGTAGATTAAAATGATAAATCTGACTTGAATAGTTAAAGCCTTGTCACTTGATCTCCCTTTTGATGTACTTTGTATTTGATCTGGTTTTTAATATTTTCTGTGTTTGTTTTTTTAAAACATATTGGGGCTTATCTCTGTTGTATTTTGTCATTGTTGGAAGCCTTCTTGAGTCTGTTATGTGGTTTAAAAAATTTTTTTTGGTATATGAAACCCAGGATGGATGCAGTACAGTTGGGGAAGTGGGGGGTAAGGAGGAGCTGAAGGAAGAAAATGTTTTGAAACTAACTGTGGTAGCGATTGTACAGCACTGCTCGATATGATTGAACTATGTAATAGTATGACCTCTGGACTAAGTCCTAACAAAGTAGTTTTGGAAAAAACCTTGTTTTTATTATTATGGTTTATATTTATTATTTCATCTCATACCTCACAGCAAAAATTTACAAACCTCATTGATATAGGGCATCTACACACGTCCCTTGCGTATAATTTAACTACATAATTATAAGAAGTGTACTAACTACAATCCATCCATTCCAAGAAATGCAGTGTTACATTGTTTCCTTTACAGGCAGTGGCAAAAAACATTTAGACACAGTGGCAGAGAGAAGGTAACATTTTTGGCCATGATCCATTTAGGGAGCCTCTCAGCATTGGACTTTAGTGACTATGAATGGATGTAAGTTGTTATTGGTAATGCAAGAAGATATGTTTAAAAAGAGGTGCAGATTAGGAAGAAGATTTGAGTAAGTAGTGTTTTAAGAGTCTTGGTAGTACTCCAGGTAGGAAATCACCATTCAACAATTGAATATGTGTTTGGAGAGCTGGAGAGATTATTCCTTGAAATTATTAATATATA